ATATAGACATTAAAGCCCAGTACTCTTAATATAAGGCTGTTGAAACTTATTTGCTGGATGTTTTAGATTAAGTTTTAAAATTAAAGTTAAATTAAAAGGGCCAAGAAAACCAATATTTGGCTCTTGCCCTCTGAGTCAGTCTGAATCCAGGGAACAGGGGACATCTCTAAAGAGCTTTGCAACTCTGGGCCACATAACCTCCCGATCAGGGAGATTAATGAGACCACTGGAGAACAGAAAGCCAATCAGTGCATTTGCTGTGAAGAGGAGGGTCATCAGATTTGGGCTGCAGAAATAGAGCTCAGAGGGTCATTAGAACAACTTCTCCTTTCGAGAAGTTGTTTTTTTATTTATTTTTATTGGTTTTTATTTATTTTCGAGAAGTTGTTTTTTTATTTATTTTTATTGGTAATAATTAAATATACTAATGGTCTGTGACATGATGCTTTGATATGTGTATACAATGAGGAATGATTAAATCAAACTGATTGACATATCCATTAACTTGTTTTTCCTAATCATGAAAACATTCAAAGTCTACTCCCTAAGCAGTTTTCGCGTCCATGTTCTTATTAACTATAGTTACCACGCTGTGGAATAGATCTCTAGGTCTTATTCTTCCTGTCTAACTGAAACTTTACTCACCACCTCACTAACCTTTCCCTCTTTCTTGTCCCCCACACCCAGGCCCTGATAACCACCTATTGTGTCTATGAGTTCAACATTTTTCAATGTCACCTGTGCATCAGATCATGCAGAATTTGTGTTCCTGTACTAGATTGTTTCTCTTCATGTAATGTTTTCTTTGCATAATGTTGTTGCAAATAATATTTTTAGGGCCATGTCATATTTTATTATGTATACATACCACATTTTCTTTTGCATTGGTCATCTTAAAAATGAATTTTGGACACTCAGTAACCAGGCAAGGAGCAGCAGTGCAGATTTTTAAAGATAGCAGAACTATGCTCTCCCAAAACAATTATAATTATGGTTTTGGCCAAAGGACTAAAATCTAAATAGATGATTGAGTTTGTTCATTATTTATCCTCTGAGATTACATACATAATATTTTGTTATCRTAACCCTAAGAAATAATGGGTTCTGAATGAACAAGATATTTCCTATAGTTTGTAAGAGAGAACATGTGTCATYGTAAGTAGCTTCCTTGATTCTTTCTGGAAATTAAACAAGTTGGGCATGAGCCTCAGACTCTTTCCCAGGATAAGGTGGCCAGTCACCCTGGGTTCAATCCCTGGTACAAACCCCCCCACCCCAAATTATCAGTATTATCATTTCTTTTAGAACACACTAGAACATATTTTCCCCTCCTCCTCTTCCTCCTCCTTTTCTCATTTAAAAAATTCAAATCCCAAGGGAACCCTGATGCATCTTGGCATCAGATTTAGGGAGATTTAGGGAGGTCTGCTGCTGTCCATTTGTGGCCCTCCTTTCAAAGCTGGGACTCTAGCCAACTCTAAAGATGTTTGTGATATTGAACTTTTTAACAGCTCGGTTTCGATTTTAGTGTCTTTCAARTATCTGGCATGCCACGTGGTTCTGTAGAACTTTTAAAATCAAAACAAGTTCTAGTTGAGGGATGTAGGGAAAGGAAATTCCTCCTGAATGGGAAACACCAAGACCAGCAGCTCTCAAGGTCTGCAAAGGAAACGCGGGTCCGCAGGGACGCCGTCGCTCTCTCCCTGAGTCCTGCTGGCCTCCTCCTCCTCTAGCTCTCAGCCCTGCACACCCAGACTGTACTGCCCATCTCCACAAGTTCATTTCTCCTGAACMAAGTTCACGGTGAAGATCTGCCATAGATCCTTCGAAATGATAATGAAGTGTCCCATGAGACAGAAATGAACAACTGAGAACAAAAAAAAATGTTATTTTTTGACAGTTGTTTTCATTAAGTGTCTGAGACCTGAGCCAAGGACCCATCAGGAAACAGCTCGGCCAGCCTTGGTATCTACGAGTCTCCAAGGATTCAACCAACCCCAGATGGAAAATGGGGGGGGGGGACCGAGTCCGTACTGTACATAGAAGACTACTTTCTCGTTGCTATTCCCTAATATAATAACTRTTTAATAGCATTTGCAGTGTATTAGGCATCATCATCCAGAGGTGATTTAAAGTAGGCTGGTGGCTATGCACAGATCCTATGCAAATATGATGCCATTTTTTGTAAGGACTTGAGCATCCATGGAATTTGGGTATCCTTGTGTGTGTGTGTGTGTGTGTGTGTGTGTGTGTGGTGGGTGGGTGCGTGGGGTCCTGGGACCAATCCCCGGTAGATACTGAGGGATGGCTGTTCTGTGAATGGAGACTTATCTAAACCTTAAGATATTAGCTGTTGAGATGAAATTAATGTGACCTTTACAAACAAAATGAATGTCTATGTGAAAGTACTGCCATCCTCTAGCTCAAAATGTTTCTCAAGAATTTTTATCCAGCCAGGCAGGGGGCAACACSCTGTAATCCCCACAGCTCAGGAAGCTGAGGCAGRAGGATTACAAGTTTGAGGCCAGCCTCAGCGATTTAGGCCCTAAGCAATTGTCTCAAAATAAAATATAAAAAGGACTGAGGATGTGACTCAGTGGTTAAGTGCCCCTGGGTTCAATCTCCAGTACCAAGAAAAAAAAGAAGAAGAAGAATTCCTATCCTGTGAATAAATTCAGTACACATTTGAAAAAACTCAGGCTTGTTCACCAAGATTTCATCTCTATTTTACCTGAATGTCTCTAATCCAGGACTGAGCTGCTTTCAAATTATCTTCGTTGATTTCAGCAAGTTTTTCCYGCCAAGCAACTGCCTGACCATCAAAAGTCACAAAATTGAATTTACTTTTGTATTTCAGCTGTTCCTGTAAGAGACAATTATTACTTAACCATAAAACCACTCAAATGTAAGAAAAGCTCAGGGCAGCTCTTAGCCTAATATATTTAATCACTAGAATATCTATTTTCAGTTCTAGAAGCTTAAAAATTATGTTCAACAGAAAAAATCTTTTCTGGTACAAAAGGCATTTAAATAAAATCTATACATAGTTTGAATGCCAAGACCCTTCCAAATGTCTACAAGAAGGTATGAATGTTTATTATAGATGTCACAAATATGTACACGTTTATACATATAATGTGGCATTAAATATTGACTTTAATACTGATATTAATGGTATGCTAAATGTGCACACTGAATATAATGTTCTTAAAAAAAAAAAAAAAAAGAAACCTGAAATGATTTCATCATTTTGATCACCATCTTTTGGGAAAAACCACTTTTCAGTTACAGATTATTGACTTGCCTTTTCTCTGTCCATCATTCTCCCACGCAGCTTGGTCAGATCAAAAGCTGAATTTATTTATTATTATTATAATAAATACAATAATAAATATAATAATATAAATATGATACTTATTCTATTTATTAATGAATGATTTATTTATTTTCAAACACTCCCCACTATTATTTCTGTAGCTGATACAACAGACCCTGTGAGCATGATCATACACACTCATAGACGTGGAAACTGAGGTCAGGACCTGCTTCAGGTCAGACGACCTGYGGCCAGCGCAGGCAGAGTCAAAAGTGGGAGCTTCTATTCATCAGCCTCATGTATCCTCCCACGAATCTGCCCTGGGACACACTCATTCATAATAAATGCTGGAAATTAAAATAAAAAGGCTAATATAATAAATATCTGGGAAACAACAGAGCTTTCTAGAGCTTTCGCTGTATCATGGATGCAGGAGAGAGAAAGCCTGAAGCAGTGCTATAGGATCTCCCTTCAGTGACCCACAGGAGGCTGAAAGGACCCCATRGAGGACAGGTCTGCTTCAAAGGGGAACTGAGGATTCTCTAATGGGCAAAGGGGATCCTTTTTTGAACTGGCATCCTCATGGGGTGTAAAACCTCCCTGTCCTCTGCTGGTGGCCACTGGACAGTGGTTGGTGCCAATGCATTTGCAACACACAGGCCCTGAAGGCACAGACCTGACCACGCCCTCTGACCTGTATAAGTTGAATGATCTTGTCCTTCACCAAGTCCAGTTTGCTCTTCATGGAGTGAGACGTATCGATGAGGACGTAGACGCAATCCTCACGCACCTTTCCAAAGAGGATCTGGCTCCCGTCCTCTAGCCATTTAATCCTAGGCGGGAAAAAGTTTCAAAAAGAATGGTCAGAGCCGGCAGGCCACGAGATCATCTTCCTTACAATGGAATGATGCTCTTCCATGGCCAGAGCTGTGGGATACATTGCCTACACCTAATCTTCAGCGAATGGATACGTTAAAGTTTTTCTGTAGAAAATCCTCCATTTGGGCCAGCTTCCTTTCCAACCCCCTCCACTGACCCTCATCCCTCCAAGTAAAACAGAACTAAGAAATCAGTAGGAAGAAAACGAAACCCAACGTGGGAGCTAAAGCCAAGAGGAAATTACTACTAGTCACCTCAGCTGGGAACCTCAGCTATGAATTCAGACCATTTGTTCTTCTAATCCTGCTAACTACCATCAAGATGGTCTAGCAGAACATGCCTGATGTTTCTAAGGAGCTTATGGACAGTATCAGGCAGCTCAGGGCCCCGTAACAACCAAGCCCCAGGTGGCTGTGTGAGTGGGACTGCTATTGTAGCCCCTCATGGGATGTTACTGAAGTTCAAGGCTGCCAGGAAAACCTGAAGGGTTAGGATTAGGGAAGGAAGGGAGAGAAAAGACCTGAAACAGTTCAGAGTTCAGTAAGACCTAAGCAACCAGAATCTGTAGGGAGAAATATTGAAGAGGCCATCACTGCACAGAAGCTTAGAAAGAGGGAGAGCGTTGAGGTCATGGGGAGAGACAGAGAGAAACATGCTCCAGAGATCTGCAGAAAAGCGCCCTCCAGATTTTGACGAAGAGCTAGGGAAGGAACTACTGAAGCCAGGGAMCCAATCACTGGGAAGGAGGAAGTGGCCCAACTCCTCAGAGCTCACATAGGTTAGGAAGAAAGCACCTTTCAACCAGCAGAGGGGCTGTCTATACCTCCTTAATGCAGGGAGAATCCAGGGGAGCCCTCAAAGGGCATTAGCTTGTCACAGGACTAAATGAGCCCCGGAATAAACTGTGGACCTATGCTAACAAAACTCGGGGTCTTGCTGATTCCAAGTAACTGAACCACATCACAGAACAGACATAAAAAGACAGTGGCCAGGCATTGTGGCACCTGCCTGTATAATCCCTGACTCCGGAGGTTGAGGCAGGAGGATCAAAACCAGCCTCAGCAAATTAGCAAGGCCCTAAGCAATTGAGGGAGACTGTCTCAAAATAAAAAAATAAAAAGGGCTGGGGATGTGGCTCAGTGGTTAAGCATCCCTGGGCTCAATCSCTGGTACCAAGAAACCAAACCAAACAAACAAACAATAACAAACTCATGAAATCCAGCTCCCAACAAGGTATAATTCAAAATTTCTGGTATCCAATAAAAACATTAACAGAACAAAGAAACAGGAATATATGATTCATGATAGAAGACAAAGTGATCAATAGAAACAGACCCCAAAAGAACATACCCAATGGAATTGGCTACACACCATTAGAGATGTAATTCATGTGTTCAAGAAGGAGAAGTAGGAACAGAAATAGAGAAATGGAAGACATAAAAAAGATCCAAGTGGAATTTCCAGAGGGACACAATATCTGAAATGAAAAATATGCAGCAAAATATTAACAATACATTAAAAGTTGGAGAAGAAAGATCAGGGAAAGATTTTTTTCAAAGAAATAGCCACAGATATCACCAGTTCTGTGACCCCACGCAAGGCTCAGGGCCTCAGCATTGGAGCAGGACCCAAAGCCTGAGGTTCCGGCCCACGCAAGGCTCCGCAAGCACCTTAGCAGAATCACCCATGAACACATCTGCAGGCCGCCAAGACTTCGCTCCACTCCCACGCAAGTCACTCAGCTGCTACCTACCCACAGCACAATGCCATCACCCCGCTCCCCCCACCTCACCAGGCTCCTCCTCCTCCTAAAAAATATGCTACTGAATGAACAATAGGTTGCAGAAGACATCAAAGAGGAGATTTAAAAATTCTTAGAGGTAAATAAGAACATAAACACAACATATGGAAATCTCTGGGACACTATGAAAGCAGTTCTAAGAGGAAAGTTCATTGCATGGAGTTCATTCCTTAAAAGAAGAAAAAGTCAACAAATAAATGACCTTACTTTACATCTCAAAGCCCTAGAAAAAGAAAAACAAATCAACAGCAAAGTCAGTATAAAGCAAGAAATAATTAAAATTAGAGATGAAATCAAAACAAAACAACAATTGAAAAAATTGGCAAAAAAGTTGGTTCTTTGAAAAAATAAGTGAAATTGACAGGCTCTTAGCTATGCTATGAAGAGGGGGAGAGAGAGAGAGAACTCAAATTACCAGCATACATGATGAAAAAGGTAATATCACAATAGACACTACAGAAATCCAGAGGATAATTAGAAATTGTTTTGAAAACTTATATTCCAATAAAATAGAAGGTATTGAAGGCATTGACGAAGTTCTTAAGTCATACGACTTGCCCAGATTGAATCACGAAGGTCTACACAATTTAAGCAGACCAATATCAAGTGACGAAATAGAAGACACCATCAGAAGCCTACCCACCAAGAAAAGCCCAGGAACAGACGAGTTCTACAGGACCTTTAAAGAAGAACTAATATCAATACTCTTTCATTTATTTCAGGAAATAAAAAAAGAGGCAGCACTTCCAAACTCATTCTATGAGGCCAATATCACCCTGATTCCAAAACCAGGCAAAGACACGTCAAAGAAAGAAAACTTTAGACCAATATCTCTAATGAACATAGATGCAAAAATTATAAAATTCTGGCAAACTGAATACAAAAATATAACAAAAAGATTGTGCACCATGATCAAGTGGTATTCATCCCAGGTATGCAAGGTTGGTTCAACATAAGGAAATCAATAAATGTAATTCATCACATCAATAGACTCAAAGATGAGAATCATACAATCATCTCAGTAGATGCAGAAAAAGCATTTGACAAAATACAGCACCCCTTCATGTTCAAAATACTAGAAAAACTAGGGATAACAGGAACATATCTCAACATCATAAAGGCTATCTATGCTAAGCCCCAGGCCAACATCATTCTAAATGGAGAAAAATTGAAGGCATTCCCTCTAAAAACTGGAAGAAGACAGGGATGCCCTCTTTCATCACTTCTATTTAATATAGTCCTTGAAACACTAGCCAGAACAATTAGACGAAAGAAATTAAAGGGATATGTATAGGAAAAGAAGAACTTAAATTAGCACTATTTGCTGACAATATGATTTTATACCTAGAAGACCCAAAAAACTCCACCAGAAAACTTCTAGAACTAGTAAATTAATTCAGCAAAGTAGCAGGTTATAAAATCAATGCCATAAATCAAAGGCATTTCTGTATATCAGTGACAAATCCTCTGAGAGGGAAATGAGGAAAACTACCCCATTTTAGAATAAAAAAATAAAATAATATACTTGGGAATCAACTTAATGAAAGAGGTAAAAGTTCTATACAATGAAAACTCCAGAATCCTAAAGAAAGAAATCAAAGAAGACCTTAGAAGATGAAAAGATCTACCTTGCTCTTGGATAGGCAGAATTAATATTATTAAAATGACCATATTACCAAAAGCACTATACAGATTTAATGCAATTCCAATCAAAATCCTAATGGCATTCCTCATAGAAATAAAAAAAAAAGCAATCATGAAATTCATCTGGAAAAATCAGAGACCCAGAATAGCTAAAGCAATCCGTAGCAGGAAGAGTGTAGCAGGTGGGATCACTATACCAGACCTTAAATTATACTACAGAGCAATAGTAACAAAAACATCATGGTACTGGCACCAAAACAGACTGGTAGACCAATGGTAGAGAATAGAGGACACAGAGACTAACCCACAAAATTATAATTATCTTATATTAGACAAAGGCACCAAAAACATACATTGGAGAAAAGATAGCCTTTTCAACAAATGGTGCTGGGAAAACTGGAAATCCATATGCAACAAAATGAAATTAATCCTCTCTCTCACCATGCACAAAACTCAAAGTGGATCAAGGACCTAGGCATTAGACCAGAGATGCTGCGTTGAATAGAAGAAAAAGTAGGCCCTAATCTTCATCATGTGGGATTGGTCCCAACTTCCTTAATAAGACTCCTATAGCACAAGAATTAAAACCAAGAATCAATAAATGGAATGKACTCAAACTAAAAAGTTTGTTCTCAGCAAAATAAACAATCAGTGAGGTGAACAGAGAGCCTACATCTTGGGAGCAAATTTTTACCCCTCACACATCAGACAGAGCACTAATCTCTAGGGGATATAAAGAACTCAAAAAGCTAAACACCAAAAATACAAATAATTCAACCAATAAATGGGCCAAGGATATGAACAGACACTTATCAGAAGAGGATATTCAATCAACAAATATATGAAAAAATGTTCATCATCTCTAGCAATTAGAGAAATGCAAATCAAAACTACTCTAACATACTATCTCACTCCAGTCAGAATGACAAAAATTATGAAGACAAACAACATAAGTGTTGCTGAGGATGTGGGGAAAAGGCACACTCATACATTGCTGGTGGGACTGCAAATTGGTGCAGCCAATATGGAAAGCAGTATGGAGATTCCTTGGAAACTTGGAATGGAACCACCATTTGACCCAACTATCCCTCTACCCAAAAGAGTTAAAAACAGCATACTACTGGGACACGGCCACATCGGGAAGAGACCCGAGAATAGCAAGAGCCTTCTAATCATAAATCATGCGAGCACAACTCACAATAGCTAAACTGTGGAACCAACCTAAATGCCCTTCAATAGATGAATGGATTAAAAAATGTGGCATAGGGGCTAGGGTTGTGGCTCAGCGTTAGAGCGCTTGCCTCACATGTGCGAGACCCTGGGTTCGATCCTCAGCACCACATACAAAAATAAACAAGTGAAATAAAGGTGTTGTGTCCAACTACAACTAAAAAATAAATATCAAAAAAATGTGGCATATATACACAATGGAATATTACTCAGCAATAAAAGAGAATAAAATCATGGCCTTTGCAGGTAAATGGATGCAGCTGGAGAAGATAATGCTAAGTAAAATTAGCCAATCCCCCATAAAACAAATGCTGAGTGTTTTCTCTGATATAAGGTAACTGACCCATAGTGGGGTAGGGACGGAGAGCATAGGAGGAATAGATGAACTCTAGATAGGGCAGAGGGGTGGGAGGGGAAAAGAGGGGGCAGGGGGTTAGCAATGATGGTGGAATGTGATGGACATCATTATCCAAAGTACATGTATGAAGACATGAATTGGTGTGAATATGCTTTATATACAAATTGTGTTCTATATGTGTAATAAGAATTGTGATGCATTCTGCTGTCATGCATTTAAAAAATAAAAGCAATTAAAAACAAAAGAAGAAATATGGTCAAAATGCTTCTGATTTCGATTGAAACGAAATACCTACAGATCCAAGAGGATCAAATAACCCAAAGAGAAGGGACATGAAGAAAACCACGCCAGAGTACATCATAACAAAACTGATGAAATCCAGTGACAAAGAGAAAAATCGCACAAGCAGCCGGCGACAGAAAAGTACATTTTACATGGAGAGGAAGAGATCCGAGAATAGCCAGAGCCTTCTAATCATAAATCATGCGAGCCAAGCCAGGAGACAAGAGAGGGAGATTTTTAAAGTGACAAAAGATAAATTTTAAAGCTAGAAGTCTATATTTAGCAAAATTGTCTTCAAAATGTAAAGGTAAATCTGAGAGTTTTTCAGACTTAAACAGCTGAGACAACTCACCACTAGCAGAAGATTCATCACTCACACTCCAGGAAATGTGCTAATGGAATTCCTTCAGGAAGAAATAAAATGACGCCAAGCGGATTCTGGATCCAAAGGAAGGAAAACAGAGCAACAGAAATATCCAAGTATGTTGGATAAATGTAAAATATATGTATTCGGATATTTAATCCAGTTAGAAGACAGTGGGCCATTTGTAAAGCATTGTGGGGTTTACAGCACATGCAGAAGTAAAGTATAGAAGGGGCTGAGGATGTAGCTCAGGGATAGAGCTCTTGCCTGGAAAGTGTGAGGCCCTGGGCTCAATCCCCAGCACCGGGAAGAAAAAAAGAATCAAAGAAGAGGGAAGTGAAAGTTGCAAGATTCTTATACATGAAGTAGTGTAATGTTATCTGAAGACAGACTGTGATAAATTAAGAATGCCTATTGTATTGTAAATGCCAACTATTTATATGTATCAAAACAAAGAGATGGGTTAGTAAGATAATAGTGGAGATAAAAATGGAACCATAAAAATAAACAAAAGAAAAGAAAAAAAAGAAGAAGAGGAGGAGGAGGAGGAAGAAGAGGAAGAAGAAGAAAAGGGACAAACAGAAAACAAATAGCAAGATGCCTGATTTAAATCCAACCAAATCACTAATCAAATTAAATGTAAATGATCACAACACTCCAGTTCAAAGGCAAAACTTTCCAGACTTATTTAAAAATGATATTCAGACATATTCTGTCTATAAGAAACCCAGGTAAACCTAAGACAGACAGTTAAAGGTAAAGGAATAGGAAAGAAGACAAACTAYGTAGACAATAATCAAAAGCAAGCTGAAGTGGGTGAGGTGGCGCATGCCTGTAACCCAGCAGCTCAGGAAGCTGAGGCAGGATCACAAGTTCAAAGCCAGCCTCAGTAACTCAGTGAGGCCCTAAGCAGCTCAGCCAGACCCTGTCTCTTCATAAAATATAAGGGCCAGGGATGTGGCTCAGTGGTTAAGGGACTCCGTGTTCAATCCAAAAGAATTTAACAATCCTCAAGATGCTAGGCCCACTAACAGAGCCTCAAGGTAGGAAAAGTATGGAAAGAAATGAAAGGAGTGGGTGAATCCAAAATTACAGTTGGAGATTTCAACCCTGTTTTCTCAATAATTTAGAGAACAAAGAGAAGATGAGTACAATATGGAAGCCCCTGAACAACACGATGCCCAATTCCAGTTCAGTGATGTTTACAGCACACTCCACCCAACAGAAGCAGAACTTTTTTTTTTCATATTCACCAAAACAGGTCCCAATAAATGTATAAGAGTCGAAATCATACAGCATTTCTCTGCCTACAGTGAAATTAATAYGGAAATCAATAATAATAAAAAAAATAAGGAAAATCCACAAAGGTTTGGAAAGTAAACAACACATTTATAAATACCCCGTTGGCCAAAGAAGTAATGGCAGGAGAAATCAGCAAACATTCTGAAGAGGCTGAAAATGAAGAACATCCCAGCAGCCCAGGAGGCTGAGGCAGGAGGATCACAAGTTCAAAGCCAGTCTCAGCAACTTAGCAAGACCCTGTCTCAAAAAATATATATAAAATAAAAATAAAAAGGGCTGGGGATGTGGCTCAGTGGTTAAGAGCCCTGGGTTCAATCCTAGTACAAAAAAAAAAAAAAGAAAGAAAGAAAGAAAGAAAAGAAAATGAAATACAACATATCAAAATCTATGAGCAGCAACTACAGAAGTATCCAGAGGGAGATTTATAAAATCAAAAACTTGTTCTGTAAATAATAAAGAAATAAAGGTCTTAAATCAGGGATCTAAGAATCTATTTTAAGAAACAAACTCAAGGAGTAGAATTCAATGGAATATTATGCACAATATATTATATATGATACATGATACAATACTACATAATATATGTTATCATAATACGTGTTATATTTTACATTACATATAATTTTATATATTTTATGTGTATATGTATGTGTGTATATGTGTGTACATATGTGTGTGTGCATGTGTGTATAGATACACATAAAATCAGTGAAAACAAAAAGCTGGTTCTTTGAAAAGATCAACAAAATGGATAACCTTCAGCCGGGCATATTAGAAAATAAAGTGACCTCAGTTGTCAACATCAGGTCCATGTGCATTTAAAGAAATAGGATGCCTCCTTTAAAACCTTCTCCCAGAGAAGAAATCTCCCAGCTCAGACGGCTTCGGGAGCAAATTCTGCCAAACATGGACAAGGAAGACGATACCCAGTCTTCACAATATCTTCCAGAAAGTAGAGGAAGAAAGAACTTCCCAACAATCCTTGACATCTGTGGGGAGGAGAAGGACAAAGGGACCCAGAGGCGGCCTGGTGGCATCCCTCCCAGATCTGCAATCCAGGCTACTCCCTGCAGGCACTCAGCTCCAGACCCCGAGCAGAGGCAGCTGCAGACATGGGGCTGCTGGGTAGGAGTGATCCACCGCAGCCTGAGTTTTGAAAGGCTGCGCTCTGGGGGTGAAGGCCCCAGTAGGTGGGTTCCTGCAGCCTCAGGGTGCCTAACAGAAAGCACAGGAGGAGGGAGGCATCTCGTGTTCAAGTGGCTATTGCAGGCTGGTACTGGTTAAAACTCATTAGGTTTAGCATCTTAACTAATCCATAGAACAAATTTATGAATGGCATTACTGTCCCCACTTGATCAATGAGGAACCCGATACCCGAAGACATGAACTAACTCCTCTAGGGTCACACAGCAAGTGGCAGAGCTGAGATTGCAATCCAGCTCCCTCAGATCTCAGACCCCACGTGTCTAAATGCATTTGTCCCCTGTTCCCTGGAAGGCGAAGGCATTCAGGCAGATCATCCTCYGGGGGAGGGGGGGGCCTGGGGCTGCAGCATGAACACCATCGGATTTTAAGAACCCACCCACACAGAGAGGGATGACAGCAAGTTACTTTTAGTTGATTTTTATATACATGTTTCGGCTGCTTTCTAGATTGCCCAATGTTGCAACAGGTACAATGAAATGCTTTTGAAAGAGAACATTCAAGAGTCAAAGGCAAGGGAAATGTGGTCTGCAATATACCTATGGCCCCCCAAACCCAGGGCATAGCCTCCTGCAGCTACGCGAAGTATGACCACTGTGAGCCACACCTCTGCTCTTCATAAGAACCTGCACCGGCACCAAGGCAGGATGGAACCGGAATCCACAGATGTCCCCTTGCTGTCAGCAAGGCCATCATGAACCAGGGGACAAGCCACCTCGACTYAACAGTGTTTAATGGCTACTTCATCTTTTTTTGTTTTGTTTTGTTTTTTTGGTACCAGGGATTGAAGCCAGAGGTTTTTAACCACTGAGCCACATCCCCAGCCCTTTTATATATTTTATTTAGACACAGGGTCTCACTAAGTTGCTGAGGCTGGCTTTGAACTTGTGAACCTCCTGGGAACACACCAACCTCCTCCGGATCCGGGCCAGCACTGTGTGGACTCTGTCACTGTACCACCTGAACTTCTCCTTGGTGATGTTGACGTGGACCAAGCTCCCATCCTTCCAGGCAGCGTGGATGAACTTGTTGCAGTATTTTGCATGGACTGTCTTCTTCTTGCTCTCCTAAGGGAGGGGCAAAGACGGAAACCACTCAGAAACCATTCAGAGAAGAAGGGTCCCCAGGAGGATACCTCCACCTCTTCCTGATTGAAATGGCCCTTTGTACTCATCCCCACCATGAAATCATTCAATCATTAATTCACATACACACGCCCTTGTGCCTGCTCCACAGGGTGCTAGGTGTCATGCACAGTGGTCAGAAAGACATGCATGGTCCCATCTGTGCCCAGAGGAGCCAATGATTCCAGCAAGAGGGAGACAATACAGAGAGAGAGAGAGAGAGAGAGAGAGAGAGAGAGAGAGAGAGAGAGAACAGTACAGATTATTAGATAACCCAGGACCTGGTACTGGGTTGAGACAGAGGGGACTAAGAAAATCTCGACAAAGAAGAAAGCTCACAGTGCGCCGGAGGGCCAGGGAGACCATGCTGAAGGAGGTGGGGCCTGAGAGTCCCCCCAAAACCTCTTTCCATGTCTGCTCCCAGCCACCAATGAAGCCAGGGAGCCAAGAACCCCCTCCCACGTCTAGTGCCCCAGATGGGACACACAGACCTGGCTCAAGGACAGAGGCTCCCACAAGGACTGCTCTCATCAGTGACATGGTCTGTCCCTACTCCATGCCAGGCACCAGGAATACAATCCACAACAAAGACCCCCGAACCTGCCCGCCTGGAGCTCACACTAGCAGGGGAAGAGCCAGATCATGAGCCAAGCAGAATGTGGTAGGTCAGAGGTTGCCCAGGGCTTTGGAGAAAAATATGGCAGGGAAGGAGAAGAGAGATTGCCAGGCCAGAGGGCAGAGGGCAGGACAGGTTAAAACTGAGGGAAAAAACTTCATGGAGAAGGTGAAATAGGAGCAAAGACCTGAAGGAGCCAGGCGGCCACAGGCAGGCCCGGGGGGAGTTGGAGAGCTGAGATTGCCTGGCGTGTCTGTGGGGTCTTGGGAAGACCAGCGTAGCCAGAGAGAGTGGGCAAGGGAAGAAAGTGTGAGATGAAGGTGGAAATGTACAAGGAAGAGGGCCAGGGAGCCGACTTCAGAAAGCCTGGGGGCTGACGGAGAGGCCCGAGAGGATGCTGGCCGACTCTGAGTGAAAGGGGAGCCCCTCCGGGTGGCAGTGGGTCCAGGAGGGCGCTGGAGGAGAATGGAAGGGGAGGAGAGGGGGCGTGTCTACAAGTCCTTTGAGGAACTGAATTCTAAAGAGAAGCCAAGGAATGAAACAAAGGAAGCAAAACCAGAAGCAAATATGAGTTCAACTAAAAAACAAAACAAAACAGCAGCTSGCCCAGGATGGGAGTTTATGCATGGGGAAATGATAACAATGGGGRCAGGGGCAGTTTACCAAATGCAGATCTGCTGATGGAAAGCTCTAGAGACAGGGCATTATGGCTGTGAAGCAGAAAGAGGAGAACGAATGAACGAGCGCAGAGAGAGACCAGCGAAGAGGTGAGGGGGTCCCAGCCATCGCCAGCCAGTCCCCGTCACAGAGGCCCACATCAGCCTGGTGGCCCAATCTTGTCCTGGCACCTCYAGAACCATGGATGAAATAAAGATGTCCTCTCTATAAGTTAAAAATAATGATTTTTTWAAAAGGATGAGGGAGTGGGACCATTGTCCTTGTCCCTTAGAGAGGGACAAAGGAGAGAACAAAAGAAACAGAGGCAGAGCCCACGGGGCAGACACAGCTTCTATCTGCTTTATCCACATCCCAATTTTAGGGTCGAATTCATTTTGGGGACTCATAGTCTAAATACTAGAAGTAGAACTGTCCTTTCCCCCCCCAATATCAACATCATTATGTGTGGATATTTTCCAAAATCGGTGTTTGTGGAAAAGAAGAGCTATACTCTATCATTCTCAACCTTTGCCATGTTATTATTAGCACACAAAAAAATTGAGGCAAAAGACCCCTTTTATAAGGCAAATTCTTCAAGCTGACCCCCTAAAATGTCATTTAAATTGTCAAGAAACAGTAAGGAAGATATGGGTCCTAGAGCTAGCTCTAGGCCTAGTGCGTGGTCACGGTTCATGGTGGACCACAGCCCAAATCAACAGGGATTAATAGTTTTTAAATATCCAGGGTCTAATGTATTTCTAAAATGGAAATTTAGTTATGTATAATTTCCTGATCATTACTGACTGAATAATGTCTATTAAACTAGAAAACTGTGCTGGGGCACACAAATGAGATCTTCCCTGCAAGGCAGCAATGACGCTGCATCCTAGGAGACGCCAGGAAACAGGTCTTGCATTCTGCATTTTTCTAATTCAATTGCATTCTGCATTTTTCTAATTTAAACTTCATATTTTTCTCCTGCAGTTTGTTGTAAGCACGCGGCAGCAAGAGGACAAGGACACAACTTGGTGAGGCTGAAGTGGCTGGAGGGAAACGGCCCTTCCCGGGGCCCAGTGGTCAGCCACACAACACACGTCAGAGACGGGAGTCTCCCCTGCCTGGATCCACGTAGGTCTCAGCGATGACCCTGATGTCAAGCAGAGCCTCCACACTGTGTTTGAGGAGGGCGTTGATTCCCTCCCCACTGGGCTCCCTGGAGCTGAGTGACCAGCAGGTCTGCTCTGGTTGGCATTTGACTCTTGCCTCTTGGTGTGGACCAGGGATTTCAGCACCTCCTAAAATGGCTTTTCCTCAGGTTTGAAGAATCTGGAAGGCTCAATTTATCCTGATTTTCTTTCATATTGGGACACTTCTTAAGTCTTTCTGTACTTGTAAACTTTTGATCTCAAGTCTTTTGGTTCCTTTTCTACATGTGGCTATTTCTCAAAGTGCAGTCCCCGGACCAGTGGCTTCAGGGCCCTCTGGGGACTGTCATTTGCAAGGTTTGAATATGGCTCATCCCCACCACGTTGAGACTGGGTCCCCAAGGTGGTGGTGTAGGGAGGTGAGGGCCTSTAAGAGGTTGTTAAGAGAGATTGGGTTTTTCTTGTGGGATGAACTCTCTGAGAACTGGGTTATTGACCCCTGGAGTGAATTGCCATAAAGAGGCAGCTACCCCTCAGTCTCTCAAATGGGTGCTATTCCACCTGCACCCACTTTCCTTCTTTTCTGCCATGAATTGACACAGTGTGAGGACCTCACCAGAAACCAAGCAGGTGCCAGCACCATGCTCTTTGATCTGAAGAACTGTAAGATAAATAGACCTCTTTTCTTTATAAATTCCTCAGMCTCAGGTATTTGGTAACACAAAACAAATGAAGACATTGTTGATGCAAATCCTGGGGCTCCACTCAGACCTACTGGCTCCCCTGTGTGATGCTAGAGCGTGGAAACCGCTGTGAACKAGATGATCCTTCCACTGGGAGCCAGAGTCAGGCACCGCGAGAAGCTCTGTTTCCATGAGAACCACTCAGCACCATGGAACTACAGCTTTCAACGTTCTCCATACACACTCATCTGGGGCMACAACCCTTTGGAGAAAGTGATTTTATATTTACTGGGAATCCATTATGTGCTGGCTGGTAGTCACAGGAATCATGCACCTTTGAGAGAGTGAAAAGTCAAGAACCACTGAAATGCCTGCTTTGGAGTACCCACCCGCAGTTGCTTCTTTCCCTTCAATGTGGGAGACTGCAAGTCCTCTCTTTTGACATCATGTTGAATAATTCAGACTCTAATGCCTGAATTTCTGCAGGCCCAGCCAGTGGCTCATCCATAATTCATGTGTCTAGTGTTCTGGTTTGGAAATGGTTGGAGCGTGTCCCCCAAGGGTCTGTGTGCTGGAAGCTTGGTCCCTAGTGTGGCAGTGTTGAGAGGTAGTGGAACCTTTAAGGAGGGGCTCTCTTGGAAGGTCATGGGGGTACGTACTGCCTCTGAAGGGGATTAATGCTGGTCTTACAGAGTGAGTTAGCATCCTCGTCGGCCGCCTGTTGTAAAGTGGAGAACCTGGCCCCCTTCTAYGTATGTCCATTTCCCTTTCCACTTCTCTGCCATGTTGGGATGCAGCCAGAGGACCCTCCCCAGAAGCCAAGAAGAAGAGGCTGCCTGATATGGGGCTTGTAGCCTCCAAAACTGTGACCTAAATAAACCCCTTTTCTTTATAAAGTACCCAGCGTCAGGTATCCTGTTACACCAACAGGAAACAGACTAAGACTACCAGAAACCCTTCCCAGACAAGATCTCTGCCTCGGGGTACCACTTAGAGAAGAATAGGGCAGGAAACAGAAGGAACCTCTTTCTTCCTGGAAACAGAAGCTGATTTCCCTCCTGGCTGCCTTTCAATGTGGCCCTGCCCTGGGCTTCTGATCTGCTAGGGTCCCATGGGAATTCCACAGCGCCCCCCCCGCCCCAAGTTCACTTCACCTACCGCACTGGTCTGCAGGGACTCGTTCTCCGGTTTGGCTTTTATCTCAATGACTCCATCAGCATGGCGGAAGGAGCAGTCCGCAAGGACGTGGTAAAACGACAGCTTCTGGGCCTTCAGACCATATTTTTGGAGCCACTTCTTGGAGTCCCAGGTGTCTTCTGGATTCGACTCACTCTCCACTCCTGACTCTGTTTTGGGAATCACAGTTCATGAGCCATTCATTCCACACAGACCCTTCAGGTCACACCCCCAGCTTCCTGCGCACCAGGCTGGGACGTGCCTCTGTTAGCCACGCTTCATTTCGGGAAAGCAGCTGTCCAAAGCAGGACTGGCAGAGGGTCAGTACCCAAGACTGGACAGCAGGAACCCAAGACCTCTCATCTCATTTCCTCCTCTACTGAAGTCGACTGGCCTGGTGCCTGGGTGGAGCTGCATGAGACCAGGGCCTTGTGTCAGGAGAGCGTATACTTGGGGTCAGAGTCTGTGGGTTCAAGTCCTGGCCTTGTCACCTACTAGCTTGGGCTACTTGCTCAAATTTAAATGGGACACCCCACTTGACCTTTTGAACTTTGGCAGATGTCTTCACCTGCAGATGGAAGTTCGTATCTGCTAGGCATTTCTGAGTCTGTTGCAGTAATTTAATGAGGGGGAAAAGAGAAGTAGGGATACACAGCCTGCGGAGAGGTGAAGTCTGTCAACATGCTACGGCTGGCAGGATGCTTCGCATGAAGTCCACTGCCCTGGGGGGAATTTGTCCCTACTAAGAACATGGTCCTCGGCTCTGGTATCTCAGAAGCCTCATAAGTCAGCCCTGATGCCTGGAGCTATAGATAGGACAACTTTCCTGAGGCTCACAAATCCCCAAAAACCCAGAATTTGTCAATTACCAAATATTTCCAACTCCAGGCACAGTCCCTTTGTGGATTCCAGAAGCTATCTGTACAGTTGTTCCCTCGGCATATGCAGGGGATTGGTATACTGAAGTCTGTAGATGCGCACGTCTGTCCTACAAAATGGTGCCTATTTGCATAGAACGTGGGCACATCCTCCCTTGTCCTTTAAGTCATCCCTACGTGGCTTATCATAACTAATACAATATCAGAGCTGGGTGAATGGTTGTCAGGCTGTCTTGTTCAGGGAATAATGACAAGGGAACTATCTGCACATGTTCAGCACAGACACAACTTTTTTCCAAATGTTTTTGGTCCCTTGTTGGTTGAATTTGCAGATGAAGAACCTGAGGATACAAAGCACTGATTGCAATTAAATAGTTGCGCTGTTAGGGAAATAAAATACTACCCACACATACTCTTTGCTGTACATAAGGGGCTACATCATTAGCAGGAGATTCAAAGAAATAAAACACTTTAAAGGCAATTATCCSTCAATAATTGGAGCTGCCCATGAACACTGCATCCAAGCCAGGTCCTCACATTTTAATAGAATGCCTTTGAAAGATTTCACTCTGAAGTCTGTTGGAGTTGGAACTTGTCAAAGAAGCTGATTTGGGCTTTTGAACTTTATACCAAACTAGCATCGAAAGCCCCGTTGAGCAGCACCCTGAACACTCCTGGTGCCCTTCCACCCCAGGGCCATCTCTCCCTTCCTTGTCAGGGAGCGCAGTCTGGCCTTCCGGGGATTCCCTCCCAACCTCTCCTCAGCCCCAGGACGCAGCCCAAGAGAGGAAGGAGCCTCTCCATGGCGGTCCTCTCTCAATAACTGTTAATTACATTGCCAGTCTCTGGTCTCCTCTTGAGACAGGGGCAAGGACAGGTGGCCTCAAAGAAAAGGGAGTGGGTCATAGCACTCCCACGGCCTCCAGGGGAGGGAAGGACCATATTTTACAACGCAAGCCAGCACCTCCTGGTTGGCACTCTTGCGGCCTTTTGGTCACCCAGTAGGCAGGGTGGGAGGAAGGGACAGGAGAAAGGAGACCTGGATTCTATACAAGGGGCACAACACCCCCACTCCTCGGGCACCAACTCTCTGGAGGGTCCCCCAGCCCCTGACCCAGTCCTGATTTGTAAGACCCGGGTTTCCCTCTTTCTTCTCTGGTAGCAGAGACAGATTCCTTTCCTCCTCCCCTCTCTCCTGATGGATAGATGTGGTAGGAAATACAATTCTCATTCAGTTGTTTCTATGGCGACACATGCCTCCTCTGTTTTGGGTTGTCTTCTTTTTAAAAGATGAGGGAGCGCTTCAAGCCTGAATTCAAGTTTCCCGTGAAAAGAACTTCCTAAAAACACGTCCAAACCAGTCCTTGCCAGGGTTCTGAAGGAGCCAAAGACTCATGTGGAACTCCTGGATCTCCTGGGGACCAGGGGGTGCAGCCCCTTGAGGGCAGGATTCAGAGTCCCAATTAACCACCCCAAGGAGGGGTTCAGGTGAAGACCCCCAACAAGGAGAGAATGGGCCACTGATCAATCACAACAAAGAACCCGGATGCTCCCAGCCGGGGTCAGGAGGAAAGAAGTGAGAGAAATCTCCCCTTTTCAGGGCTAATTAGACCAATTAGTGGCCGAGCCTCACTTTCCCCAGGAAGGGAGGGGCARGGTGTCAGCTGGTCATTGGCGTCACTTACTGAGGGGGCCTTTCCATTCCCCTGCAGTTTTCTTAATTAAAAGTGTCACATGGATCCTCCCCCACGGAGCCCCCAAGCTCACAGCAGAGGCAGTGCGGGCTCTCCTCTCCCACCTGACAGATTGCTTGAGATTTCCTGGCAGTGATGGGCAAGGGGAGCAGATGGCAGAGCCTGTCACACCACAGCACTCGCTGGTCCCTCCATCCTACTTCCCCCAGCCCCTCTCCCCCTCCCCCTCCCCTCCCTCTCCCCC